CAAGTGGTTAAAATGCCATGTCTCAGCTGAGAGCAACTTCAGTTTATACTTCAACTTGTAGTAATTTTTAAATATATATTATTGATTTCTGAGAGGAAGGGAGAGGGAGTGAGAGATAGAAACATCAATGAGGAGAGAGAATCATTGATCAGCTACCTCCTGCACATCCCACACTGGGGATCAAGCCCACAACCCAGACCCTGACTGAGAATTGAACCATGACCTCCAGTTCATTGGTCATAGCTCAACCACTGAGCTTTGAAACCTATAGAAAGAAGGATATAAAACCCTTGAACTCCCACTAGGGGGTGCTCATATCAGCTGAACTGTCTGCCTGTGCTTTATGCCAAGTGTATTTTTAATAAATTTGCTTGCCTTGCTTGCTTAATAAATTTTCTTGCTTTGCTACAACACTGCTGTCTCTCATCTGAAATCTTTCTTAAAGTTTGACAAGAGCTGTAAAAGGGCTCTTGTCAGGGAGCTGTCCACTAACACTAGGACAGTGCCAGTGTTTGTTATAGGTAAGTGAGTCTTGTTACAGGTGCAAGGTTCATGTGCCTGCTGCTTCAAAAGAAAGGCCAATATTCCATACTTCAGAGTAGTGAAAGGCTTATTGATCAAGAAGGCCTAGCTCAAGAAGATGGGAGTGTCTAATGGCTTTCACAAATCCATCTTAAGAGACCTCAAGTTTCAAGCATCTTTTATTGTCAAAGGAAGGGAGGAAGGGTGAGGCAAGAGGTGGGTGCAGGCAGTAGACAGTTAGTCATCTAGGTGTCAAAAGAGATCCAAGGATGATTGCAAAATTTCTAAATCTAAATTCCCTTGTTCCTGGTCGGTCTGCTGATCTGGGTCAGGTTCTGGAGACTCTTATACTAGGTGTACCAGTTAATAATGCAGATTTTTTTCAATAGATGGAGTTACACATATGTTGATATATATGCAATTTGATATATATGCTATTTTGTTGTATTGACAGCAAGCTTCAAAACTTCATATGTCAAATTTGCTGAAGGTGTTAACATCATAGATATTTTTATGCTTAAAAGTGTCGAATTTTGTGCCAAAAAAGAGCATTTGCAGGAAGTTTTAATTCATTACTTTATTTTGAAGAAAAAGTTATCGTATACTTCGGGAAGCTTATGGTGAACATGCTCCATCTCAAGATACTTGTTAACGCTGGTTTACATGCTTTAAAAGTGATGATATCTATGTGAAAGACAAAGAATGTCCAGGTCAGCCGGAAAAGTTTGAAGACCAACAATTATAAGCATTATTGGATGAAGCTGCGTGTCAAACTAAAAAACAACTTGCAGAAGGATTAAATGTTGCTCAGCAAACAATTTCCGATCATTTACAAGCAATGGGAAAGATTTTAAAGCAAGGAAAATGGGTGCCACATCAACTGAACAAAAGACAAATGGAAACCCAAAAAGTCATCAGTAAAATGTTACTTCTACGGCACGAAAGAAAATCTATTTTTGCATCGAATTGTGACTGGCGATGAAAAGTGGATTTATTTTGAGAATCCCAAATGCACAAAATCACAGGTTGATCCAGGTCAACCATCAACAATGACTGCAAGGCCAAATCGCTTCGGAAAGAAGACTATGCTCTGCGTTTGGTGGAATCAGGAAGGTGTGGAGTATTATGTGCTTCTAAAATCAGGTGAAACCGTTAATACTGATTGTTATCGACAAATAATCAATTTGAACCACACTTTGATCATGAAACGACCAGAATGGGCCAGAAGAAACAGCAAAGTAATTTTACTTCATGATAACGACCATCACACACTTCAAAACCAGGTAAAGACACATTAAAAGATCTGGCCTGGGAAGTATTAACTCACCCGCTGCATTCACCAGACCTTGCTCCTTCAGATGACCACTCGTTCCGATTGATGGCACATGCACTTTCTGAGTGAAAGGTTCAGAGTGAGCCGGGGTCGCGCACCTATGACATGAGGCCATAATGTATCAAAAGAGATTTTATTCCGACTGCGTGGGTGCAGGTGGGCTGAGACCGAGAAAGGCATCAGCGAAGAGAGCAGGGAGAGAGAGGTTTTTATTGATTTTTGCTGACTGCAAGCCACTCTGCTCAAGTAAAGGCCTGGTCCGCCCTTGGTTCCTCCTATGCCAGGTGCCTTCTGGTTATCTAAGCTATGCTGTGCTCAAGGCTGCAAGCTTTCTGCAAGATCTCTGCTAAGCACAATAAGTCTTTCTCTGCCCCATTATTCTCTTTAACCCTTTCACTGAGCAGCACTTCAAAACGTACGAAGAAGTGGAAAATTGGGTCTCTGAATGGTTTGCCTCAAAACAAGAAAAGTTCTATTGGGGCGGTATCCACAAATTACCTGAAAGATGGGGGAAATGTGTAGCTAGCGATGGACATTACTTTGAATAAAGCACTTTTGATGTTTCTCTTGAAATTATCGTGTTTTCTTTGATTACAAAATCTGCATTATTAACCAGTACACCTAGTAAATCTTGGAAAAAATTAATTACTTTGTGCATATTTCTCCACCTCTTGGCTGACAAGGAGTTGCTCAAGCCTCAAACAGCACTCCTGTAGTTAATTAGCATCATTGCGGGAGCTATCAGTCTGAAGGCCAGAGAGAGGAGCATTTCACTCTGTTACAGCCTCAGTAAATATTTTATGACTAAAAGAGTGAAAGAAAACACAAACAAAAAACCTTCATTAAATAGGAAAAATAGCTTTTCACTACAAATTCTGTGCAATAAAAATGTTATAGGGCAGTGAGAAGCTAGAAAAATTTTAGGACAAGTGGGATAGGGAAACTGAGACAGGAAAGTTAAAACAAGGCCAAACAGTGAGGGCAATTTGCAGCTGGCCTGCAGATTACAAGCCATTATCTTTGAGAGCAAATGGTTAGAGCCTCCCTCCTGAGAGAATGCAGGCAGGAGGGGGAGGAGAAAGGAGAAAGGCGGTTTCATTTCTTTTACTCAGCAGAGAAGCCAGCATCCTCAAGGCTGGACAAGATAAAGCGGCAGGCACTTCTCCTGTGACCTAGGAAGGCCACACAAAATAATAAGGAACCTTGAGAATTAATCTGCACCAACATATGCAGCAGGGAATTCTGAAACCTGTAGCCAGGAGGGTACATAATGCCTCTGACCCCCCACCCGACCTGCTCTGCAGATTAGCTGAGTGCCTGTCTGCGCTGCATAAGCCAGATGGATAGGTTTGCTAGCCTTGCTTCTCTGATAAATGTGCATGCTTTAATTTTAAAAATAAATTCACTTTAAGACAATGTGGTGATTGCCCGGATTCACTCATTTGAATGTATTCCTCGGAGTAGGACAGTCACTGAGTGGGGACTTAGGGGCTGTCCCAGGGCACCTGCCTGTGAGAGGCGCCGGCACAGAACCCCTGCCCAGCCAGTCCGGGGCCTGTCCCAGGTGCAGCAGCGGGGGGGCGCGTGTGCAGGTCGCGCAGCCACGAAGACAACTCCGACCCCGCCAGCTCGCTCCCCGCCGCCGGTGACTTAGATCCCGTCGGGATTCAGGCGCTAACCTTGGGCCTCCAACCCAAGGAACCAGTTGGCGCCGGTCTGAAACCGTCGCCTTTGACTGTTTATACTTCCTGAGGAGGCACAGAGGCGACGAGAGTGAAGGATCGGGAGGTAGAAAGATTTTTAATTCTCACGCCACGTCTGGCACGTGTTGAATAATTTTGTAACCGCTGCAAGGAACACCGTTCAGACAAAAGCAAAAGTAGGCCCACCCCCTCCCAGCCCCCACCAAGGCCCGGCCC